CTACAACCCATGTCTAAGCAAAAGCTTGTCGAGGAGCGAGGGGAAGAAGGGAGAATGCGCGTCTTTTATTCTGTATGCACGCCTGTTGGTTTTGTTGTCCGTTGTGTGTCACGCATTTTTTTGTGGCGGTGCGCTGCTTGCCGGGCTTGCCGCGAGCATCTTCCCGTGCCTGGTATCCTCCCGTGCCGGTACCGAAGGGGCCTGGCATGTGTCTGACATGTTCCTCCGGGGGCGGGATACGGTGTTGGGAGGTTCTGAGACGTTCCGAGGCTATTCGATGTTCTGCCGTGCGGTGACGTGGAGGTCGATTTCCGCTCGATTTCCGCCGTCCGTAAGTGGACACAACAAGTGGGTACAATTTGGACAAAAGTGGGTCAAAATATAGACAAGTGGGTACGTACAGGAAAAAAATTGTTGACGCCGGTGGGTATACCCACCGCGATGTCGGACAAAAGTGGGTACTCTGTTGAGACCCTGCGCGCCTCGGCGGTATTAGGGCCAAATGTGTGCCTGAAAGTGGGAAAAAATCGACGCCCGTGCTGTGTGTGATCCCTGGCTGTGTAGCGCAGGTGTCAGAATGGAGTTTTGAGTCGTTTGGGGACCGCCGATGGAGTGCGCGCGCGCTGAATTTTCGAGTACCCCCTTTTGTCCGAGAATGGGGTGGGTATACCCACTTTTGTCTATTTCCCTTTTATTTTTATGGCGAGAAGGGTCCAGCCGTCCCTTTCCCTCGTCAACGGTGCTAACGTCGAAGTTTGGTACTCACGAGAGCTTGTCAGCTATATTTCGCTTTCAACCGCACATTTTGTAAACTTTTCACTCCATGGGAATTCGAACTCACGACCTTTGCGACTAGCGGATTACGAGGACACCACCACTGGACCACCGGGGCGACCGGTGTGTGATACATCCTCCGGAAGAGCTTCCGCTTCTTGAGGTCAGCAGCGTGATCCTCCCAAACCAGGCGCCGTGGCTCGTGGATAGCCGCACGCATCTTGTTAGCGCTAGCGTACACAGCTACAGAGGTGACCACTGCCGCCGCACTCAGCACCAGCACCACCGCAGCAGCAGCTGCAATCATCTGCCGCACCAGCTCTGGCGACCGGATTTGAGCTACATGTATATATGTGCGCAGGTACGTGGCCGTGCATCGGTCATTTGGATCTCCGGGGTATCTCCGGTAGTCTAGTGGTATCTTTGGCAGGTTGTCACGCATTCCGTGCTGTCACTTGTTCCGAGTTCCGAATGTGCCTTGCGGCTGTTGCTCGCGTGCCTCGGTGTTCGTGATGCACCCTGGTGCCCACTTTCTTCCGTTGCTTGTGTCTACGACGACGACCAATAAAACGACTTTACAATCTCTTCACATTGTCAACCGGGACAGCCGTGCTTATCCAGCAGCACTCGGCTTGGGGCCAATCAACAGCTGTTGAGTCGTGCAATGTTCGGGCGGGCGGGCAACGAACAGAAAAAATATATATTGCGGCATCGATGGGCAAAAAGAAGGGAGGGTACCGATCAGGGGAGACAGATCGAACGAAGAAGAAACATTTTTTCTCCGAATACACACAACACAACCACACAACCTCGCCCCCGCACTTACTTCACAACCACACCCACCCCACTAAGTCTGCAACAACAGCAACAACAAGACCACAGGTAGGTCCCGACACCTTACTTACTCTTTTCGCGCAGGTACGAACAAACTAAATTCAATAGCCTGGTGTGTAAGCCTACCATTAGGCACTGTATTTTTGGGCAAGAGGTACATCGCTGAGAGCTTGGATGGATATAGTGATCGCTCGGTGCTTGTTTCTCGCGTTGGGTCGGGTCGGGACAAGGAAGAGAGATGATGACGGAACGCAACGACCGCTAAAGCTGTTTTCGCCGAGAAGGCTGCGGGCGGTAGGCCGTGGGCGCTATACAGCAGTGTATTGGTGTCGACGACCGACGGACGTGTCGACCTCTTCCCCTCACGCACGCGTGGCGTGTCCTCTCACGCGCATGAAGTCCATGAGGAACGACCGCGTGGGATGATGATGTGAATTCCTCTTGACGCATTTTTTCCGGTGGCGGTTGCGTTGTGCCGAAATTGAGATGGGTTTCGCCAGGCCCGCCCGCCCGTCGGCATGCACGTGTGCTCCCGCTCAAGGTGCAAGGAGGTGTGAGGGGAGTGTGAAGTGGTGGTCGTGTGATACTGAGATTGCATGTTTATCGTGGACGGTGTGCATGTTTATGTTGGGTAGCAAGAAGTGGAGGCGGATGAACAAGGATGCCATGGCCAGGCGTGTGCCATAGTCGTTAGACCATTGACCTTGCATCCCTACAAAGCCGGGACGGAGCACGCCGGGTTCTCACCGGACCAGGCTTTCACATCACCAAGCGCGAAGCGCCGTGAGGTATTCGGCGATTCGCATGAATAGTGTGCTGCATCCTGCTAAGGGTGTTCGGCATCTTGTGATTACCTCCTTGCGTATGGATGACAGCTGCGTATGACTAAATCTGTCTTCTGGTGCGTTCACAGATATAAGCGTTGTGCAACTGCCTCGATTCTTGACCATTTTAACACAACTTGGTGCGATCATCCCCCTTGCGCGGAGTGAGGGTTCTCCACCCCGCACAACATGATCTACTCGACCACCATTATTATGGTTACCACCAAAGAAAAAGGGGGGGGAGGGGGGGAGGGGATAAGTCAAGTACGGGATCGGCACGCACGGTGACTCGCGCCGCTCGGTCCACCTCTTCGCGTTTCCTGCCTTTCCTCGCCGTCTCGTCTGCATGCTGTACCCTTCCCACCCCCGTGCTTTTTTTGCTTTGCAAAGAGACAAATCTCCGACGGTGCGATTCTTGTCACTCTCCCAGTGACAAGATACCCCGATGGAGCTATATCTTTCAACACTTCGTATGTGTACACATGGTTGGTAATACTCCCGACAGGTGTCCTCAACATCACCCCCCCCTCAATGCGCCACAAGTCCATCCGTGCTAAAGATGTGGTTTTGGCGGCCAGAGATATGATGAGTGGCTCATGGAGACGCATGTATCGAAGTTAACCTACCTGGTACACCATCATCAACTCGGCCTGATCATCGTACATACAACGCGTGATAAAAACACACGGAGTCTTGAGACGGAGTGATGATAGATAGATGTGGTCCATACTAGCATAGTCCAGAAAAAAATGAACTTCGCATGATCATGCTAGCGTAGCACGCTATGCTGTGGGGTTGATGAGGGATAAACTTGTGATGAGGTAACCCTCCGGCAAGTTTGTCTATTCATCATAATAATAATCCTGATGAGAGATAGACTTGTAATGAGGTGACCCTCCGGCAAGTCTGTCTATTCATCATAAAATGAATATATTTTTTTGTGTGTTCACTTCAAATCAGCGCTCATAGCACTGGTGCCGTTCACTCCAACCCGTGGCCACACAGGAGAGCCCCTCTCTAACCTCCCCTCCTGCGGTACTTTGCCTTCGATTTCAAATGCGTGAAGAGTTCAGCACTCTCTTCCCTCTGTGTACACACGAACTAGCGCTATCCACTAGGCCAGGAGCGGCAGCGAGAGAAAAACTCACTGTGGAAGAAAAGCTCGCTTACGCCGGGATTCCAACCCCTGACCTAACCTCTAGAAGGCTTCGAGGATATCAACTTGACCACCGGGGCGACCGGTAATATTGCAATATGAGGGATAAATCTGTAATGAGGTTACCCTCTGGCAAGTATATCTATTCATCAAGGATAAGATCTTGATGAGGGATGAACTTGTAATGAGGTTACCCTCTGGCAAGTTTATCTATTCATCAAAAATATGATCTTGATGAGGGATGAACTTGTAATGAGGTTACCCTCTGGCAAGTTTATCTATTCATCAAAAATATGATCTTGATGAGGGATGAACTTGTAATGAGGTGACCCGCTGGCAAAATTATCGATTCATCAAAATAAGATCTTGATGAGGGATGAACTGGTAATGAGGTGACCCTCTGGTAAGTTTTATCTATTCATCAAAAGTTACGATCTTGGTATAGCGGTGGTTTTGTTCAACTCTCCTCGCAAGTATTTCCCCAATAAATTAGTAAAAAGATAGGTTGTTTCCAATGGATACAACCAACCACCGTGGCTAGCTACTGGTCCTGTGCTAAATATAACACAGAATATTAGTAGAAGAATATGTCCCAAGTTTCGGAACAGATACAAGAGATGACAACTGTTAGGAACGACAGAATAAATCAGTCGTTTGATTTCCGGGCCCGAGTTCGCTTTCGGTTGCTAGTACGGCAGGGTAATTGAGTATCACTCTGTGTCGTAGCAGAACGCGACTTGGGTAATGAAACCTCCTCTAGACGCCTTCGTTGTCGTTTCCTGGTTTTGTTCAATGGCTCGGAGCCACGTGGCGTAACCAATTTTCGACTTGAAGGTTCTTGAGGAGTAGATACCTGTTTTCGTTTTCGTTTCCCTGTTTTACTGGGTGATTTTGGGCCTCCCTGTTCCACTGGGGCACGAGACGAAGATTTATCAGACTGCGCGATGTCCAAACCACAACGGATTCGGTAGGCATTATCATTTCTTGACATTGTGGAATTTCGTCTGCTCTATATTGAAAGTCTGACTCAGGGCCGTATCCTCGAAGATGCAAACGTTACGTGTAAAACAACATATTGGTGAAATTGAGAGCGAAGCATGAAATTGATGAGAGCGAAGCATGAAATTGAGAGGGAAAGCCAAAACATTTGAAATTCGGGTCCAGACGCCTCTTGCCATTTCTTGGGAAGTTGGTGGCGGGCTCTTCCAAGAAGCGGCGCAAATTGAAGGTCTCATCAGCAGCGTCACGAGCATATGCGTGTCATCGTCATCGGATGCTGCAGCTTGGAGCTGGACAAATTGCTAGATTTCCCCAGATTGGCTATTCCTGCCTCAAAGTGTTGCAGGGCGGTTTGGCCTCGGGCGGTGGGCGCTGCTGTAGCTTCTGCTCGCCGCTGTAACTCCGCATCGAGAGACTCCCACAGGATGACGAGGGTGTATCTGCTTGTAGCTACGGGCTGNAGCAGCGTCACGAGCATATGCGTGTCATCGTCATCGGATGCTGCAGCTTGGAGCTGGACAAATTGCTAGATTTCCCCAGATTGGCTATTCCTGCCTCAAAGTGTTGCAGGGCGGTTTGGCCTCGGGCGGTGGGCGCTGCTGTAGCTTCTGCTCGCCGCTGTAACTCCGCATCGAGAGACTCCCACAGGATGACGAGGGTGTATCTGCTTGTAGCTACGGGCTGGTCTGCTTGTAGCTACGGGCTGGCCCTTCAATTCAAGCTACACAGCAAGCTCCACCTCTCAGCAGTAGTCCAGCTGCAGCGCATCGCACAATCTCGCTCTCAATCATCAGATGCTTCGCTCTCAATTTCACCAGTATGCTGTTGTAATTGTACGGGGTTTCCGGCGTTCTACTACTCTCATAGCTTACCACTTTGTCAAGGACGTAGGATTCAGTTTTCGATTGAGCTTCGTCGGGATGGTCTAGCTCGGGCAACGGAATCTGGCGTCCTAAGAAAAACTCGGAAAGTTTATCAAAATCTGGCGCCGGTGGCGTTTCCTCGGTATTACCGCTTAATGTGGGCTAAGTGGACCGAAACTTAACGAGTTGCGTTCTGGCGTCTCACTCTATATACCACCGGTGATAATTTAGAGCAGATGACGTAAGGTCCTCTCCACGGTAATAATTTCGGATTCGGTCCATCCGAATCCTGGTATAACAGCATATTGGTGAAATTGAGAGCAACGCATCTGATTGAGAGCGAGATTGCGCGATGCGCTGCAGCTGGACTNAACAGCATATTGGTGAAATTGAGAGCGAAGCATCTGATTGAGAGCGAGATTGCGCGATGCGCTGCAGCTGGACTACTGCTGAGAGGTGGAGCTTGCTGTGTAGCTTGAATTGAAGGGCCAGCCCGTAGCTACAAGCAGATACCCTGGTCATCCTGTGGGAGTCTCTCGATGTGGAGTTACAGCGGCGAGCAGAAGCTACAGCAGAGCCCACCGCCCGAGGCCAAACCGCCCTGCAACACTTTGAGGCAGGAATAGCCAATCTGGGGAAATCTAGCAACTTGTCCAGCTCCAAGCTGCAGCATCCGATGACGATGACACGCACATGCTCGTGACGCTGCTGATGAGACCTTCAATTTGCGCCGCTTCTTGGAAGAGCCCGCCCCCTACTTCCCAAGCAATGGCAAGAGGCGTCTGGACCCGAATTCTAATTTTTTTGGCTCTCGCTCTCAATTTCACGCTTCGCTCTCAATTTCACTAGTATGTTGTTGTATGGGCGGTACACAAGTACTAGATCACCAGGTTTAAACACAGGGATAGGGCGCAGTTTAGCGTTATTGGCAGCTTGTTTTTTTGCGCGTTCCGATAGTTTACGGCGCGCTAGTTCTAAAGCAACCTGTAAATTTGCCTGTTGTGTAGGTTTAGAGAATTCCTCGGTATTTGCTGTTGTTCCCACATGAGGGATGCCGAGTATAGTCTAATACCAACTGAGTCGTGGCTTCCGTCCAAACATACATATGAAAGAACGGTGTTTCATGCATGGTGGAGCTAAACGACGTGTTGTAAGCCAGTTGCACAAAAGGCAGCAGTGATGCCCAGTTATCGCGGTTCGTTCATGGAACTACGCATGGCGAGCACATGGTAGCATGTACTCGTTCTGAAACATTATTACCTTGCGGACGGTAGGGTGTCGTGCGAGTTTTTTATACTTCAGAATACGCTGTAGTTGCTGGGCTACACTGTTGTTCTCAAGTTCAGGTCCTTGATCGGAATGCAACAATTCAGGCGATCCAAAGATGCTGATGATGCGGTCGATAATGGCCTGCGCGACAGTGATTGCTGACTTGTTGGGAATCGGAGTCAACACGGTGAATCGGGTTAGTTAGGTGGTCCATCATGGATAGGACATATTTGCACCGTACAGTGTACCCCGGCGGCTGAAATTGATTCTACTTTACATTCAACTAGGTCAACCGAAATACGTTCGAACGGTCTTTGTACTGGTACATGTCCCGTTGGTAATTTGTTTCGATTATGGACTGTTTTTCGACGTTGACAGGCTTGGCATTCTTCACACCAAGTACGGACGTCCCGATTCATGGTTGGCCACCAGAACTTTTGGAGGATCTTCTCGTAAGTCGGTCTAGACACTAAGTGGCCTCCAGGTAATACGTGGTCGTGATAGGCGTGCAGAACTAGTCTGGTAAGGGCCTGAGGCAACACTAATTGGTCACTAAACGTACTACATTTTCGGAGGTAGCCTGGTAAATACGATTTAAACAACAATCCATCACGCACGAGGTAGTATGACATGGCGGCAGTGGCTGCCTCGGTATCAGGTAATTGGGCGTCAGTTTTTGTAAGGTAGTCGACATAGATAGGTGCCATGTTCAAGAGCTTGTTTCTCACGCAATATATCGCGGTTGTTAGTTTCAAATACGTTGGTCGCGCTGATGTTGACTGATTTCTCCGCGAATAATTCGCGATCACTTTGAACTGGTCGCAAGTTGTCCAAACGATCTGCAGATACTTGGTACGGACATTGCGGAACATTTGTGTGCAGTGCAGGGTCATCAGCCACATTCCTGCATATCGGTGCAAGTTGTGGTGCTTCCAACTGTTGTTGGTGATCAAACGCAAACAACCGAGATAGGGTGTCTGGGACAACATGTAACTTTCCGGGCTTGTGTCGCACGGTAAAGTCAAAGGACTGCAAAGCATTTGCACATCTAGTCAGCATATTTGACGTGTCTTGCGTTGTGTACAAATATCTCAATGCCGCGTGATCCATGACAACTTCGAAATGTCTGCCCCACAAGTAGGGTCGCCAGTGTTGTAAACTCAAGACCACACCGTGACGTTCCTTCATCGTCGCAGAGTAGTGACGTTGAGCTTTGTTAAATCGTTGGCTAAAATAAGCGATATTCTTAACATCGTCGCCGTTCTTTTGGCCCAGGAATGCTCCTGTACCAACTTCACTAGCATCTACGTGAACCACAAAGTCTTTAGTAAAGTCAGGGAAACAAAACACAGTGTGCTTTGCTGAGTAAGCGTTTAATATCTGCACAAGCCTTATCATGTTTCTGGTTCCAACGTTTCGCGATCGATTTTACATGCTCCTGTTGTGTGAGTTCGACCAGCGGTGCGATCACCGTAGAAAGGTCGGATATTAATTTCCTCACATGGTTACCATTCCCAATACTGAGCGAAGTGCTTTGGTTGTGTTGGGTACAGGCAAGTCGATGATAGATTTTATACGATCTTCCCCAATGCGAATCCCTTTTGCAGACAGTATGTGCCCCAGGTATTTTACTTTCTGTGGTCCAAATTGAGCTTTGGAGGGTTTCAAGATACGACCGGCCGCTGGGAGTGCTTGGAGCATGCTTTCTAACAAGGTTAGATGGTTCTCCCAATTTGAGCTGCAAATGTCATCCATATACACCAAAAAAAGTCCACTGCGTGGTCCGAAGTGAGAGAATGCTAGAGACATCATTCGGGCAAATAGAAAAGGAGCATTCGCCATGCCGAAGGGATGACGTTTGAAGACCCATTTCCCTTTGTGTGTCACGAAAGCGGTCTTTTCTTGTTCTGCTTCGTCAACTTCATTTTGGTGGTAGGCTGACTGGATATCGCAGACAGTAATAAATTTTGCTCCTCCAACGGTATCAATATGGGATTCTATATTATTTGGCATGGGCCAAGATTTTCGAATTAAACTCTTGTTAATTGTAGAGCGGTAGTCAACGCAGAATCGAGGAGTGCCATCAGCTTTATCTACGATGGTAACAGCAGATCCCCACGAACTGGGTCTGTTCAATAATCTCCTCCTCTTCCATTTGTTCCACACACTTGTCGATAACTTCTTGAGCTCTAGGATTAGTACGATAGGGAGCACGGTCGACTGGTGGTGGCATAGTGCCTGTTTCTAGCGGAAAATCTGCCTTGGCTATCTTGGATTTTCCGAGCTCCTTCGGAGTTTATGAAAACACGTTACGGTATTTCGCGTATATATTCAAGACTTGCGAGCATTGTTGAGGAGTAAATGCAGTGTTTGCGAACGCTTTTTTCATGGCTCGTTTCAACTCGTCCCGCTTGTGTCTGAATGTGGTTTGGTCGCTATTGACAGCGCTAACTGTTTCATCAGCAACCGATTTTACTGGCGAAATGTACCCCAAAATAGTGTCACGTGCAATGTGAACGTGTCGTATGGATGGATTAGCAACTTGTACTGCAGCAGACTTGTCTTTTGCTGACCAATTGCATACCGTTCTAGCGACTACGATTGTACGGAACGCTTCGGGTATATTTTCAGACGTTTCGATGTCTTGGGCAGTGACAATCCGTGGTTCTATCAACACAGGCGTGTTTGTCTGTGGTGCATGTTCTGTCACGACGTCTACTGCCATTTCACTTTCGGGGGGGATGCAGAATCTTCTAGAGAGGTATACGGGCACCGCTCCTATCGATGGGTCAAGCGTCACTACAGAAATTTGCGCTGGGGCATCATTGTTGGTGCCCACTTGACTATTCGTACGTCTGTGAGTTGCCGGAATTTTGCTTGTTGAATCCTAAATGAAAGTTGCTCACCGCACCAATGAAGGACGGTACCAAAGGCATTCATAATGCTATTATCGAGCAACATCTTATCCGGACCTAGGTTGGGCAACACGTGGGCCTCCACTGGTAGTGTGATATCTTCCAGTGTGAGCTTAAAACGGATGTATCCTAGGATTTCTAACGCTGATCCGCATGGGAATTCAGCTGAATTGCGCCAGGAGGCACAGGTTTCAGAGGTAAACGTTTGAGGACTGGATGCGATTTAATAAAAGACGCTGATATACACGGTACATCAGCTGCTGTGTCGGTAGTGAGGTCAGCCACACAGCGTAATTACAAACTCGGGCAGGAATTCGCACTCTCTTGGAGGACGAATTTAACGCATTCGGATGTTGTGGATATTTACTCAGTGCTGACGCATGAAACGCCGCATAATAAGTGGATCTACCACTCGATGCACTTGAAACAGAGGCACGTTTTTCCGTGTAATGATAAAATGACATATTACCAGTCAGTACAAATTCAGCTTGCGGGGTTAGCCTAGAAGTCGGCGCACGAGTGCGTTTGTTCTTCCTATTTTCCCTTGCGTTGCTACTTGACCGACTATGAAACGGTGGCTGGGCAGCTGTTACCGATGTCTCAGACTTGCTGCTGAAATCTTGAACGGACTTCACATTACCTCCTGTTACCCGAAGAAAAATGATTCCCTCGATTTGCTATTAAAGTCGTGCACATACGGGCCTGAGTCAACTCGGGCATCCTGTGCTACATGAGTTTCCTCCGCTAATGGTGTGCTATCAACCTGTCTCCCTACGAGCGAGGAGTCCCGTGAAGGGCCCCGTCATGCTTTAGTCCAAGTCCATCCCTTGTCCTAAGCGTGTTTCTTCTTCAAACCGCACAGTTCGAGGGGGTGGTTGAACTTGCACCCCGGGTAGAGGCATGGTTCTTTCGATGTCGAGGACGAAGTGCCTTTCCCCGTGGTACGCGCTTTTTTAGGGGCGCCCTGACTCGTTGGGCTGTTCTTGCTCGACGGCCGCTTCGACTTGAGCCGGGTGACCTCAGCTTGCAGGTCTTTAATAACCGCCGTGTTCGAAGACACGGGCTGCTTCAGCTGTGGGGGTTCAGGATACCCGACAGCAGATACGGTGTCGGATGTGGGTGACGCTGCGCCTCTCAGATTATTGGACTCGTGTTTCTTCGCGCGAAGTCTTGCGTCCTGAAATGAGTTTGGGGGGTCCTGTCGAACACACTCCACTCTAATGTGAGGTTTTAGGCCGTTCTCAAATGTGGCAGTCATGAGAACGTCCCATGCGTGTTCTTAGTGGCTACTGTGGGGGGGACCTGAGCGAGCAGCCTCTGCAAGGAGGCGTGTGCGGGCCTGAGTAACTTTGAGCGCAAACCCGTCCACTGCCGTCTCTCCTTCCTGCCTGAGAACGGCTATTTCTCTGGCTAATATCGCAAGGCGGTTGGGCGCGGAAAATGAAAGGTGAAAGCTTGACAGTATTCGTCCCAGTTGCCGGTGCTCGTGGCCTGACAACTTGTCCTGCGTTCCGAAGTGCAGTCAACCGGTGTGCCGATCGCCATTCGAGAGTGCCACTATCCAGTTCTACTAGAGTGTCATAGGCTTGGCCTGGAATGACGAAGGGGAGGAATTGAATCGCTCGTTGGTCTACTACAGATTTGGGCGGGTCGTCTGCTGCAACAGAGGCTAGTTTCACACGTGCTCGGTATCGGGTCAGCATCTCAACAACAACATCGGAATCTCCTGGTTTCCCCGAAAACGATATTTCTTTCGTTCTGGCGAAAAGTAAACTTCTGGGTGTGTCCCGATGAATGTGTTGAGGTAGGGGTACTTGTTGTGGGCATAGAAAAATGCGCAAACGGGGCGTAGACAGTACCGTGTGCGCTGTCCTGGCTATCCGGAGTAGATGCCGACTCGGGTGCTACAGGGTTGCTAGGCCTGTAATCACAAGTTNGGGTCGTCTGCTGCAACAGAGGCTAGTTTCACACGTGCTCGGTATCGGGTCAGCATCTCAACAACAACATCGGAATCTCCTGGTTTCCCCGAAAACGATATTTCTTTCGTTCTGGCGAAAAGTAAACTTCTGGGTGTGTCCCGATGAATGTGTTGAGGTAGGGGTACTTGTTGTGGGCATAGAAAAATGCGCAAACGGGGCGTAGACAGTACCGTGTGCGCTGTCCTGGCTATCCGGAGTAGATGCCGACTCGGGTGCTACAGGGTTGCTAGGCCTGTAATCACCATTTTGGCTATCCGGAGTAGATGCTACGTCAGGGGCTAGGTTCTGAGGATGGACAGGTGTGTCCTGAGTGACAGCAGGCAAGATTGGTTGACGGAAAACTAGGCCGGGAGAGGTGCCACCTCCACTGCTCTGATTTCCCTCAACTGGAATACTGCTACGTACTGTCGAAGAAGTATTCACCTGGTTCACCCCTGCTGCAGAGGCCGGAGTCGTGGTGGGGGGAGTTGCGGTCGGTTGGAAGAGTGACACCAGCCACTCGTGTGGGTTCGACTGCTCCTTCCAGTGGTGTAAGAGCATGTCAGCAAACTGGCCCCCAGCGGAGGTCATCAGCGCGCGCCGATCGTCCGCGGACACGTTCTGCGACCGGAAGCTCTCGAGCATCTGGTACACGACGTGCCGCTCGCTCTCGTTGCCCCACTACGCTTGGTCGCCGTCGTTGTCATCCTCGTCACTGCCCGTCTCTGTCCCCTCGGGGGTCGCGCCTTTCTCCTCGCCGGTGGCGGCCTCGACCTCCTCGGGAATCGGCTCCTGTTGGGAGCGATCTCCCAGAGAGGGACGTTGCACAGACACACGTTGAGGAGGGGTGCCCCTTGCCAGTGGGGTAGCGGTCGACAGTGACGGGGAAACAGTGCCGGCGAGCTTTTTCTGCAGCTCCTCCAGCTCCCGCGCCTGGTTCGCCAGCGTCACATCCTTTTCGGCCACGAGCGCCGCCGTCTCCCTTTCTTGGTCACGCAGCTCATTTTTTCGCTGTGACGCGCTTTTCGTCATTTTCGCGATTCCTCTTCATGTCCTTTCCGTCTCGCTACAAATCACGGCGGAGCCGTGTTCTCGTTGACGCCAATGAGGACACTGGTCCCTGTCAGAGACAGGGGCCGGTGCTCTTGCAGTATTCTTCTACTGCCAAGGGTGGCTATTTCCTTTCGTGAGATTTAACGAGGAGAGAGGTAGAGAAAGGGAGAGTGGCCGGAGAGAGCAGAAGGAAAGGAGAGTCGAGGACTCTCTGCTTCTTCTCTCGGTAAGTGGCCAGGGACTTCGGAAGAGACAAATCTCCGACGGTGCGTTTCTTGTCACTCTCCCAGTGACAAGATACCCCGATGGAGCTATATCTTCCTACACTTCGTATGTGTGCACATGGTTGGTTATACTCCCGACAGGTGTCCTCCACATAATTCCATCATTTTTTACCGAAGTGCCCATGGTTCGCCGTTCGTGTTATTTCAGCAGTCTACCAATCGGTGAGTGCCATGGAGCCACACGGAGTGCCAGGAAAATCCATGGGTCTGCCTTGGAATTTTTCATTAAGTACCTTAGTTATCATCATGCGGCGGTTTTCCACTGTCTCGTGAATCCTCCCCCACCCCAATTTCATCGTTGTCGGTGTGTGGTACGTTCACAGGAAATAAGAAACCTTCCCTACGATGAAGACGTCATCAACATTTGCGCTTCTCCTACCTCTGCTGCATGTCGCCAACGTCCACGCTCAGGGTGAGGGTGAGAGCAGTGCGGGGTGGGAAAAGCGAAAACCTAAACTTTATTGTTTTTCTTTCGAATTGCCTTTTTGCATTAATGTTTTCTCTTCACACGCGGGGAAGAGAGAGAAACCACGCCGACAGAACACGATTCCTGTAGACGCCCTCTGCGCCTGTCCTACCGTGTCTCTGTCCATTCATTCTACTGTCTCTCTCTCTTCCCAAAGAAAACAGCCCGGGGTTTCTCATTCCACCGGTGTGGGGAACTCTTCCTACTGTACGGAACATCTCAGACGACCAAGTTCCCAAATGGTACTCTACCATTTACTCTACCCGTTGCATTCCTTCCGTTCCCTCACCTTCGAAAGAAAAAGGGTGGGTGGGCGGGAAAGAACGCAACTTCTTGGCCTCCCAATCTGGCCAATCCTTGCTATCCCTCTCTGAGTTCACGTACTGCTGTTGTATAAATCTGCTATTCCACGCTGTCCAGCGAGCCTTCTCCTGCACGTGAACTCTCCGATAAAGTGACCATCCCAAAAGGACTCTTCTCAACCTGATACCCCGAAATACAGGAACAATAACGCCTCTGGCAAATTCGACCGTTTCAATAAACAGTAGTCTACATCGGCTATATCTGCCTCACCAAACTTGCTAAAATATCGAAACTTGTATTTCGGCATTCAGTTTTGTGAATCAACTTATTCATAATCCGTACACCCAAGTCTCCGAAAAATGGCGACAGAATGCAACACAGGGTGAACTCCCGTGATGACGCCGTCACGCGCTGGACGTGGGTATGAACCAAAAACCGAAGTGACCGGTTCGACCAAGGCAAGCCCCGGACGGACTCCTTCGATCACAGACGTTTCCGCCATTTCTCACAACTCGCACACACACTCGAACGGCTGGACAAAATCGGGAGCTGACATGTTTGTTATCCTGCTTCCTGCCCCCATTCGCATATTTTCTGAACTTCACCACCCCATGCACCTGTCCCATCCTCTGGTGAACGTTTTTACCGGCTTCTAAACCCTGGGATGAAGGCAACCGGTGTGGTGGTGCCTTGAAGCCTGTACAATGCACATGCGCAGAAGACTCCGAGTGCGCAGAGGGACTGGATTGTTGCCCCATCGACAACGAGTGCTACAATCCGAACGCCCGGAACGGGGCATCTGACTGCAGTAAGTTGTGTCGTTGTGCGATTTTTTTTTTCCCGAGGCTGGCGTTGAACATGCCTGCTCCATATTTTCTTCCATGTGATTGATTCTCCTTTTCCCCATTTCGATACGCCGCCCGTAAAATGTCCGACCCCATCGCCGCACCTGCAAGACGGGTAAGGGTCCAACACAGATCTATCTCTTGTTGCACCCTCCGACGTGGCTGTACTTCTGATTCACCCTTGCCTACACCAAAAGGGACCTTGGAATTGTTCCCGGTCAAGCCGAGCCGTCGCACGGAGAGTCGAATCTCTGCTCATTAAAAGAAACAACCTTAGGAATGACTTGTGGTAACTAGGAATGACTTTGTGATGAAGGGTACACTGATACGTACGCGGTTCTCTGAGGTAAGATCGACTTTGCTTCAATCGCTGTTCGCATCTTGGTCGCACAAAACTTGAGCTCCGGAAGTATGTGGGGA